TATATATATATATATATATATGTAAAACTGTAACTGGAGCGTGTAACAAAAGTAATTTCCCTCTTGGATTATTTAAGTATTTCTGATTCTGATTGATTCTGATAAATCAGAATAATTTGACATTTAAATATGACTTCCCTACAAGTTAAATTTATCCCTTTAGTCACGTACAAAAAAAAACTATTGAATTACTCACTTCTTAGCCTCGATGAGCAGCTGCAGAGCTCACTGCTTCGATGCTCTCAGTGATTCACACTTTACAGCTCAGAGTCTGAACTTTGACACATACTACAGAACCACTTGCTTTATAAATCAGCTAAAGGCCATCACTTTAAATACATTTCAGATTTTTCAGTAGACCAGAGAAAAACTGACATAAATCTCAATCATTTAAGCTGTAAAAATGTTCTAATCCAGAACTTCTGTATTTGGTTTTCTCTGATTGTTTTTGGCTCCTTTATTTTCAGGCTCTATGAGGAAACTAAAAGGATAAACACACATCTAAACTGACTCGGACCTGCTGTTCTATCAGCGCTACAGGACTCAGTTCTACTCCATCTATCTGTCCAACCTTATTCTGTGCAGAGACACTGGGATCGGGCTCCACATCCCAGCTTTCCCAGCTGCTCTAAAGTCGGATCACGGAGAAACAGACTGAGAATCAGCAGAAATGTTGGCAGATTCAAACTAAAAACAGTGAACACAGAACCACTGAATGAGTTCTGATCCAATATTTCCCCCACATCTGATCCCTTCGATCTCTGACCTTTTCAAACAATCAGAACCACCTGGTTTATTTCCTGGTTTTCCAGAATTCTTCACAGCGATCCAGATGCATAATCAGCATCAGCAACATCCTCTAGCAGTCAGGCTGTTCTCACTTTCCCACAAACAGACCCTAGATTTTAGCTTCATTTACTGAATAAACACTGGCGGCCTTTCTGCTTTATTCTTCCTGAGGAAACTGGGATTGGAAATAAACCCTGGTGTGAACATTCGGAGCGCATCCAACACTGCGAGGTCAGTTTACAGAAGCTCAGATGGAAACCAGAAGCAAAGCATCCGTTCTCCACTGAAAACCTGATCTAATTACAAATAAAACTTTCTGAAAAGAAGTGTTAACTTGAGCAAATTAATAAAATAATCCAGTATTCATTCCCTTTAATATAAGATCATTATTCATCAGCACTGTAGTGTCTATAGAAATCTGACCCAGAGAAGTTAAAATGTGTTTCCTCTCTTCTTTTTTTTTCTTCTAAGACTAAGTTGCATCTTTTTTCAATATCAAAATCCCTCAATCAAAATGAAATTCAAGATAAAAGGTCATGTCTTTAGGATTGAAGGTTTTTAAGCCTAAAGAGATTAACTTTAGGCTTTAAATTTGAAGGTTATGATTGGAGATTTTCACAGGAATATCTGCTGCTTCTAAAACATTGTCATGTCTCTTTTTTTATCTCTGATGCTGCAGGATCTGCAGCTGCATCACATATGAGTCAGAACTGATCCGACGTTCCCCAGGAAAATCTGAGCAGGACAGACGCCCCGACCCGATGACCGGCTGCAGACCTTATCGGATCGATGCTCTCAGTGAATCACACTTTACAGCTCAGAGCTCGTCTGTCTGGCTGAGTGATTCCTGGATGATGCCTTTTACAGTTGCAAAAAATTAAATATAAGCAAATCAAATTTTATCTAAACATATGTAATCTGTTTGTAGCTGGTAAATGAAACAATGAAATATGATTCATGATGAAAAAACTTAAATACTAATTCAATTATCGGATTTTAAGCATAATATCCAATTATCCTATTATCTATTAACAGATAATCTTATTTACCTGCTACAATAAAGAGAAGTTAACGGCTTTTTAGAGACTTTTACTTCTGTTTAGATCAGTTTTTGCGGAGGTCAGATAATGCCTTAGAAGACGTCTTTTAAGGACAGACTGGGATCTTTAAGCTGCTCTGAAGGAGCTATAGCTGCTGACGCCTGCAGGAAAACATCAAAATGATCCGTTTTTTTTTGATGAAAGACTGAATTAGAGCTCACATTGATGCAGCATTAGTATGATTCATCTTCTCATCTGGGTGGGGGATTAATTAAAACTGGATGTCATCATTTTATTTCATAATTTAATATTCTTGTCCGGTTGATCTGGTTTAATACTCTAAGTTACTGTAGGCGTGCCTGAAACAGGAAGAAGGACCAGAGAACAGCTTAAATAAATCCATGAATCACACCAGGAGTCTAACAGTAACTGACAGCTACTAATGTTTGCTTGTTTATTTGGTTTTCTGAATCCAGACAAACGACAGCATCACCCTGCAGGAAGAGGCCTATTCCCTAAACAACCTGTGGAGCTTTATACTTCCATACAATCAGACCAATTCATAAGGTCCCTCTGATTGATATGCAGTGTGTGTGTCTTCAACTCTCACCGCGGATGCGCTGGCTGACAGGACGTAATTCCTGGGCCTCGTCTCCTGAAAATCTGGTGTAGCCTAAAGAGAGACAGAAACACTAATGTTGCTTCCTTTCATAATTTACCCTAAAAAAATGTAATATAAAATGCAAAACAAGGAAAGAATCAGCAAACAATCAAATCAACAATAGAAAAGAGTAAGGGATAAATATGTTGGTTTATGTCGCCCCCTAGTGGGCATTGAAGGTATAAGCCAGATAATTACAGGATGTAAATCCTAGAAATACAAGGATTTAGAGGTTAAATTTTAAATGTAGATTCAAACTGAATTATATATATGTCAAAAAAATAAATAAACAGATAAATAATAAATATTTTGTTAATGGTTATTTTAATATAACTAAATATTTTTCTGAGCTCCAGTCCAGCATTAAATATTTAACTGCTACCGTTGCTCAGCAAACAGACGCTCAAACCTGATTGGTTCATCTCTACAACCAATAAAAATAAAAAAA